AAAGTGGAAGTCGTCTATATCATGTTCTATGTTATTCAATAGATAAGTTTCCGCTCTGAGAGATCAATTGCCTTCCTACTATTTCTTATTTCTGTCGATTTTTATTCTAAACGACGTAGTCGACTGGACACTCTATTTCTTTCTTGAAATAGAGTGTCCAGTCGACACAAAAGTGAGTTTTCGACAGCACCATTTTACACTCTATCTCAGCTCTAAAATTCCAGAAGAAGATCGAAACTTGTAGGATATATGATCAAGGAAAAATGCTTCTCACGAAAACCTGAAGTTGGTCCAAGCGATTTACAGGCGGAAATTTGAACCTCCTTGAAAATACGCATCGCATTCAGTGCCCTCTTGGGGAGCGATTTCCAGTAGAACCCCTCCACCAAGTTTCAAACGTGTAACATGTGCTGAGGGTGATGCTTGATGATAATGAGGAAGCTTTTAACGACCTCTAATTATTCCTTATTATAAACTTCCGTGAGTAAGGTGATATAGTAAGCTCTCAGTTGGACTCAATAGGGCATTAGGTTCGATGCTTGTCTGTGAGGTCGAAATTCAAATCTTTGATTCGGTTGAACCATTGTAAGCATTTCTAAGAGACAGAGCCTCTTGGCCATATACTTAGCAATTGGGCCTGTGCTGTTTTAGTTTTTAATGAGAGGTAAAAAAAGAGGCTGTCGAAAATGCTCATTTTCGTAGCCCTGACAAGTGAGTTTGAACGCTTAAATAGTAGTGCAAACAGAATCTTCCAAAACTAAGAACTCATCCCATAGAGCAAGGAATGCTCTGGAAAACAGTATTGAGAGAATCTAAGTCACGTTTAGGAAACCGTACTTCACGGGAGTAATGTTCCCTGAAAGTCTGTACATTTTTGTACATTGCCCACAAAACTCATATAGTCACCCCGTTCCTCACTCGGAAATCCAAGAATAGCAGACTGAGAAGGCTTCAGTCACATTGGCACCGATACTCGACCAAAGATATTTTCCGATCATATGCAGCTATAATCCTTACAAACGAAGGACATGTGAGCGGGGGGGGGGGGGGGTGGCTGGAGCGCACCACGACAGCCTTGTACAACAATTGTTGCGGGGCTCAAGGATTGCATCCATCGGTGGAGAGGGCCGCTCTGGATGCGTTCCACAGGACTCCTCACAGACCCTCTTCGCTTGCAAGACGGTAAGATTACGGGTTTCTAGAGATCACCAGCCATAATGTCCAAGAGTGGCGACGCATGCTAAGCACAAATTATTCAATCTTCATGATTGTCGCTTTTCGTCAGACGACTGTGTTCCGATAGAATCCGTGGAAGTGTGTCAGTGTCAACAGTTTATTAGCAATCGCATTCCGACACTTCTATCCACAATGAGACACAACTAAAAAATTTCTAAGCAGTACATGTGTATGTTGAAGTGACAACACTTCAAAGTGATATGCGATGCCGATATTTCCAGTGTGAACGTCGCAGAAACCTAGAATATAGAAAGGAATTCACCGAAGAAATCAAAGACCAGCCATAGCTACTATAACCTACAACTATATAATTAGAGCTACAATAAAAGAATAAAAGCAGCTATCATCGATACAACAATTAATTCTCTACCCTATTTGTTGTTCCAGTGCGTCAGTACTGAACTTTTTCAGTCTTTCGCGACCATAATTCGAATGGCTGGAGGTAGTTGTTGGCTGACAGATGTTCGAGTTTCCTGAATTTGCTCACTACACTCCGTAAGATGTGTCGTCTCTTTATTATCAATTACGGTATATTGAAGTAGATGTACTAATAGTAAAGCACACACATCCTGTATCAATATAATATTATTATTTGAGGATAAATGGATAAGGTCTCAGCCGTCAATCAGATTCTTTTTGGGCTGAGGCACGTATTCTGCTTCCACTCTGACGCGGTGTCCTTTCGAATGCGATGAAGCCTTAACAATGACTCGCGGAGCCAGCCGATGCAAAGTCGGTGTTCTCTTCCTCACTGACAAATCTTTCACCGTCCCTGGTGGGTAGAAGGCTTGGTTGGCCTGGGCGGGAGTCGACCCGGGATTCGAACCCAGGACCGCGCGAGTGGTAAGCGCCACTTCTCACAACACCACCTTCCGCCTCAAAAAAACTAAAAAAAATATAAAGATAAAATATAAAATATACTACATGAACACAAAAAACATTGTGTAATCTGGGAAAAACGAAACTGCACAACAAAGATCCTTGATGTTGCCTCTCTCGAATTTATTCAGAAGAAAAGCAGGTATATTCTACAGAACTTCTTCCGAAACCTTGCAACGGCGAGCAGAATATTATCATTTCTCCAGTCAATGAATCCAACGCATCATTTGCGGACACGCTTGGCAAAGGCAACCCTTATGGCAGAAAGCGCCAGTCCTTTTTCCATTTATTTCAGTTTTTCCTACCACTGCACGCAGCTAGACCACATCGCGTATAATGAGGTGATCAACGTGCCTATTGTTCTCACGCATACTAGGCCGTCCGTCTTTCCGTCTATCGGTACTAAATGGTACCGTCAGGAAAAACTGACTACTGCCCGCGTCAGCCAGAACATATAAATTATAACTTAAAGACTATACACGAAGGGCAAAACAGTTCTGCAGTGGATGGAACATGATTGGCACTATGCGCTTTACCCTTTTATTCCTAGGCCATAATAGTCGGCTTTATTAAGGCGATAAAGCCGAGAAGTTTCAAAGTTGAGTGTGACCTTCATACTTGACTAATCAACCGTATGGTAAGCTTGAAATGATGGCACACTATTCGAAAAACAATGTAATTGGAGGATGATTGATGATTCGATTCAAAAGACAATCGCTCATTCATGGTTATTTTCATCCGTACGCTAACCTGTTCTGCTGACGCTCCGTAGTAGATGGCATCAAGTCGGGCCCAAAGACAAGCTCCCATGCACATTGGACAAGGATAGCACGACGTATACTCAGGGCACAGCGTTCGATGGGGGGCCTGAGTGGCCTCCGTCGGAGGACATCTAGCAAGTAAGGCGGTCCAACTGAGCAGGCGTTAGAACTAGAACTTACAGCGGCTGTAGCTCGCTTCTCGCTCGCTGTGCAGACGAATAGAGTGGGACAGTCTCTAGCTTGGGGGCTGTACTACTTGCACAAGGAAGGACGACCATGTACTACTCGAGCGCGGGGGCTGTCTTTAATCGCGCTCTCAAATAAAAGTAAAACGCAATTTCCTGATGCGGATAACATTGGAGGTGCTACAAAATAAGAACAGAAGATGATGACGAGGGCCAGAACTCAAGAGCAACTGGCTGTATCCATCAGAGGCCGCGCATTCCCACAAAACATGAGAATAAAAACAACCCAAGCGTCCCACTCGTTTGTTCTAAGTATTTCTATGGCTTTGGCGCCGGATTCGCGCCGGATCGTAGAAATTTACAGGCGATTTTAACTAATTTGCCTTTCCTTGATTTTTTCATTTTTGTTTTATTTACATTTACATCGTTGTGCTTCATTTCTAGCCTGTGTCATCTTCATCTCCTTGTACATGGATTTTGAAGCATGAGCAACACCTAAAATTTTATTCGCATCAGGAAATTGCGTTTTGCTTGTATCAAACTAACGAGTATGCCGTTTTTATTTTCATGTTTCGTGGAAATACGCGGCCTCCGAGGGATGTTGCAGAAGTGGCACAGTTGCTTTTAAGTTCTGACCCTCGTCATCATCTTCTGCTTCCATCTTCTGCGTTTTACATATATTTGAAGCGCAATTAAAGGACTTGGCAAAGTGCCAAGGAGCCGCACGCGACACGCGCGCTTGCGACGGATGTTATGAAGGACGGGAATCTGCGCCGCAAAAAGGTGTAAGGCGGAGCATGGAGGAATTAGCGTGTTTCACGGTCCTGTATCTCCATTCCTGGGCATGTTTGGGCGGGGGGACCACGACACATCGACAGCTGGGGGGCTGATAGTCTCATACACCCTCAATGTGTTTGAGCGTACCATGTGTCTTTAAAGACAAAGTCCGCGATCAC